ATAGACGATTACGCACTGCCTCCTCTAGGGGCGAAGAACAGACTCGAGAGGCACGCGGCAACAAGTACACTGAATAACACATTATAATTCTGATTACGTTTCTTGTACTTATACTCACGTAACTAGACGCGTGGACTATACCTCGCGGCAACGATACGAACGGCTAGCCGAGCTGCGTGTCCGGCTCGGGCCGAACGCACGCGAGCGGCTGGATCGTCGTTTCCGAATTCCGACTCGAATTTCGAATTGGAATCGTCCTTTTCCTCGCGAGACGACGAAGCAAGAATTCTAATCGAGCTTCTCTTTTCCCTGCGAGTTCTCGATCGTTTCACTGTACTCTTCGTTCTCCCGAAGCGACAGCTGCAGCGCGGCGAGCCGCTCGCGCGCGTCTCGGCCGAGGAGGCGAGCGGAAAAGGAGACGCCCCAGGGGTCCGACCAACGGAACAAAACGAAAATCGATCTCGGCGATCGCTTCTGTTAACGAGACGAGCCTCGACTAGGCCCGGGAAGCTGAGTCTCGGTCGAAATGCGTCGAGTGCCAGCCGTTGCAGCCAACCTGGCGCGCAAGAGCCCGCAGGGGCAGGCGCGGTCGCCGCGAGGATCCAATCGTGAGTCCGGAGACGCCCGCCTCGGCCAGTCGCGGGGCAGGCCACGCCCCTCGGAGAGTCTGGCCACTGCGACGAGAGCGCCGGGTTCGGTGCGACGACGGTGGACAGCCGAGCGTCCGAGTTTAGTAGGCACGTTCTTATCCGGCGGAAAACAGAACGGAGGGTCTGTTCGCGAAGTGTATCGTTGCCACCCGGTATAAGTGTAGCTATGAATATACATATATACAACACACACACGCGTGAACTCCGCGTTTCCGAGGTTTCCTCGCGTTGCCGTTCGCGCTTTAGATTCTTGTCCTGGACGAGCAACGCCGAACGCGCCTGCGTCGGCGCGTTGGAATAGGGCAACGCGGCAGGTTGCGGGAACCGAGTAGAATGAAATAGAATCGAATAGAATCGAATGGAATCGGAGTGCAGGCGCGTTCAGCGTTGGATCCGCTCTCGCAACGCGCAACGATTCTCCGTTCGTCGACGTTTGCTACTCCCTCTGTCCTGCTGCTAATGATACACGTGCAGCTGATC